TAGTAGTCCGTCGTTGTGTTGGTCGGCCAGTCATATTAATGGTGATCACTTCACAATTCTTAATGTTTACCACGCTTTCAAACAGAGTAAGTAGCAAAATATGTGGAGTTTGTCGACAGTTTGCTGGTGGGTTAGTAGTCCGTCGTTGTGTTGGTCGGCCAGTCATATTGATGGCGATCACCTCACACTTCTTAATGTTTACCACGCTTTCAAACAGAGTAAGTAGCAAAATGTATGGAGTTTGTCGACAGTGTGCTGGTGGGTTAGTAATCGTCGTTGTGTTGGTCGGGCAGTCGTATTGATGGCGATCACTTCACACTTCTTAACGTTTACCACGCTTTTAAACACAGTAAGTGGGAAAATATTTGTAGTTAAGAAGTTTGTCAGTTGGTCAGTCGTTCTTTCTTCAGTTCGTTGGTCTGTGTGTAACAGTTCCTCTCAATTTGTGACCGAAGTACCTGATGTCAGTGACACAGTGGTTAGTGCTGTAGATTTTTAGGTATTGGAACCTTGGTTTGATTCCTACAACATGCATGCAGTTGTCTGATTGTAATTTCACCTTGGGCTTTGGTGGCTCAGTCGCCTGAGCAAGCGCCTTTCGCCTCTGAGGTCGTGGGTTCGATTCTCGCTACGGACTCATGTGAAAAGAGTCAGTCAACGCTCTGCCGAAAGTCGTGGGTTTCCCCCGGGCGCTCCGGTTTCCTCCCACATGTAGAGAACGTTGACAGGGTGGGTTAGGATAAACATAGTTAGGAAAGTAATATCACAATTATTGTAAAAATAAATAGTCTAAGCTAAGTACACGGCAAAAAACGCCGAGCCTGCTGCTCAACAGGACTGAACAATGTTTTGCTGCCCACGTTGTTCACACTTGTCAACAACATTGAACAATGTTGTTGAGCCTGAATCGGGTGTAACAATATTGTTCAATATTGTCGACAGCTATGAACAATGTGGGCAGCAAAACATTGTTCAATCCTGTTTTCATCAGTATTGCATCAACCTGAGCGTTTTTTGCCGTGTAGGTAATATAAGTAAGCGTAATACTTGATGTAATCGGTCACTGAAAAGCCCCAATGGGGAGTGAGTTGAATAATCATAATTATAATCAAACCTCGTGTGTGAGGAGTGCTTCCATGCAGTTTTATTTTACTCAACCAAAAACACTACAGATTTCCTCCTGTAGTTACACTGGACCAAAACAGATAGAGCTATCTAGTATGGTGATTGCTAGATAGTATACTTCAAAATAAGATTTGCGTTTTTATAACGTAGAAAAAACTATCCTAATGCAAAACTAAACCCTAACCCCAACACTAAACCTAACCCTAACCCCAACCTAACCCTAACTTATTTTAAAAATTGATATAAAAACGGAAACCTTATTTTGAAGTATACTATCTAGCAATTGCCTATCTAGTATGAACGAAGTTTCTAACTGTTCCTGCGGCCTGTCCTAGCACTCTTTAAATACTTTATTCACTACTTTCTTTTACTGCGTGTAGATCACGAGGAATCGCAATGGTGTTACGATAATTTCGTTCAATTTCGTTCTCTGAAATCGGCGGATAACGTGCGTGACCAGTTAGTGCGAATCATGGATCGTTTCAACCTCGCACGACGCAGTACAGACTTCAACAGTAAAGACTATTACATTAACATAAGGAAAGCTCTTGTCGCGGGATTCTTTATGCAGGTACTGTAAAACTGTTATTTTACCCTTACGTTCCTTCGCGCAAACTTCTTTTCCATTGGAGCAAAAGTGATCTACTCTCTACCTTGGTCTAGGCAACACTTCACCAGAGACCATTTTCATTTTAAAATGGTAGAGTTTACAAACTAGAAAACCATGTCAAGGATCGAAGTTATCCGTCGTTTCTTTGTGTTAAGAAGTGCAGTTTCTAAGCGCCATAAACCCTTGGCTATATATTGCGTTGAAGCCCTTCCCGTGTTGACTTTTCTTTCATAAGTTCAAAGATTTTCAGTTCATTCTGGAATGAAATGTAGAATGCAGAAGAATGGAAAGAAACATTGGTTCCCAAGTGAATCTCATGCTTTCTTTAATTCCCGGTCAAACTAGGAAAGATTGTTGCGGAACCTAGCCTACAGTATTTTGGGGAAGCCTAGCCTAGCTATAGTACTTTCCGGCAGCGCCAGCAGCACCGTTGCCAGAATTTTTTAACAAAATATCTATGCAAGACATTCTTACACCTTGCAAGAAATTTTTGTCATCTTGTATACTGGAATGCCATATAATTTACTTACGCCTGTATTCTAAAATTTCACTCACACTCGCACTCAAAGAGTGGAGGTTCAATCTGAACAAAATATCTATGCAAGAAATTCTTACACCTTGCAAGAAAATTTTGTCATTTTATATACTGGAATGCCATATAATTTACGTACGCCTGTATTTTAAAATCTCACTTACACTCAAAGAGTGGTGGTTCAATCTGAGCTTTCTTTGGGTGTCAATGCTGTTTTTGAATAGCTGGAGGATTAATGTCGTACCTTGCTATGTGACTACTCACCCTCCAGCTATTCAAAAACAGCATTGACACTCTAGGGAGGCTCAGATTGAGTGAGATCTTTTAAAATACAGGCGTTATTGTTTACAAAAATGTTTGCGGGTCGAGTTTGTCTTGTGCCGAGATGGCTGAAATTTATCACATATTTATTATATTTGACTTACACACGAAATTTTTGTTTTGAAATTTTGCTGCTACCCTAACATTCGAGGAATTATGAAGATTTTTACATGTTTCCGCAACGCAACAATGTTTCCTAGTTTGTCCCAGGGCTTTGGTAGATGATCACATCTCCCTCTTACGTCATGGCGAGTGTCTATATAAGTTAGCCAATGACGTTTGTAGTTCTGTAGATGATTACTGATCGTTAAATATCATTGTACGTGAACTGCGAGACAGGTTGCGCATCTTGAGAGGTCTGGACACTACCTGACAGTCAAGGACAACCAGGTGAGCATTACGTCATTAAAACGTTAGAATATAATCATTGTTCTTAAAATTGTAGATCAAACGTTTTCAATCTCTTTTAGGCTAGGTTTTAGTTACTTGTCATGAATATACCTAGACTAGACCCCCCACGTTTGTTTTTTCTTTGTGTACTCATATGTGTTATCACCATTGAACTATAAATAAACTGGAAGGCTAACTCGGGGGGGGGGGGGGG